AAGAATTCAACTTTGTCAAAAAACGAATAATAAAAAATATCTAAAAACTGTTGCACGTCTATGATCGAGATGGAAACTTGTTTTCTGGGTAACTCGGGTGCGTAGATTCCAAATTCGATGTCGATACAGTGCTAGAAATTATGGCTAGCCCGGAAAAATAGTTTCTTGTCAACTTTTCACCATAAATCCACTCTGATGACACTTTAGAATGTATGATATTCATATTCAGCGCCCCAAATTTCCTCCTTAGCCAAAGCTTCGCTTCCTTGTAGTCATCGATAGTAAAAATGGGTTTTTGGTAGCTTAAACTCCACTCCGTTCTGCGAGTCAATAAATAAAGCTGCATCGTAAAACTCTTATAGTACGCTTGTAGTGCGGAGCTCTCAAGTTAGGCACCTAAAAGGAATGATTCGAGTTCTTAGACGGCATCTTTAGAAGTCTTTATCCTGAGTGCCCCTTCTACTAGCAACTCTGTATTCTTCGGCATTAACCAACCATTTTTCTTTTATTTATTGTCGGCCGAAAAGGCTAATGTGGCATCGGTAAGATCCTTATTTCCGGCGGACGGCCGACGCTGGCCGGAGTGGCGCCACGACGCATGGCGTCGCCGCTGTTCGCAGCTGCCGTCCGTCGAAGGCGACGCCTTGCTGTTGCTGCTCCGCAGGGTTGCCGTATTCGGGAATTCTTCCCCGAATTTGCGAGCTTTGTTCCTCCCTTTTGGAATTATTGTTGCCACATTTTCCTTTCCTTTGCAGCGAAATTTACTGATTATTGACCACGTCATTTTAATTTTATTTCTTGAATGAATGATGAGTTGATTATGATATGCAGCTTTTTCATTTTTAATTTTTTTACTGACGTATTTTTTACATATCAAATACCTTTGCTTAACGACTCCGTCATTGTAGTTATTCTTTATCCAAGTCTTTCGAGGTTACTTATTTCTATTATAAGTTCGTCAGAAAAACGCATTTTTTTTCCTTGCTTTTTTGTTTCTGGATAATCGGGGAAAGCATGTTTGAAAACAGAAACAGAAAGAATCGAAAAATCTATCAAATTCAATGTTAACGTTCAGATCATACTCGCTAAAAAACCTGAAACAGAATTATTCAACATTTAACTGATTTAAGGGTATAATTTGACTTGTATTTACAATTTTTTTACGTGATTCGAGTTGAGTTGAGCATAGTGATCCAAGAAAGCCAAACCAAAGTTCTGAGCATCTACTAAGCAGGGTTGGTTAGTTACTACATAGTCAAGCGTAGCAGTACGCCTAGTCTGTTCATTTATTGATGTCATATTAAAGCTTTCCATCAAAACACTTAACAAACTGAATGATCCGTTTTTTTGTCGATATTCAAATCCGCCTAGTACAACAGAACTAAAATTTGTCGGTGCCTTAGAAAGTATTTGATTGAGGAGATTTATAAAAAGTTTAATATTACCTGCAGGAGGTTTTTTTTTGGTGAGGGGGGAATGCGTTTATGCACCATACGATAGCCCGACTTACGGCGTGTGTGGGACTCCAGGTTGTCTTGAGGAGACCACCTAATACCCACTAAACCCTAACCTCCGCGTGGCCCGACTCATCAGCGTCTCGGTAGGCCATGTGTTGTGCGTGACCTGCGGTCTGCTACAACGTCTTCTCATGTGTTTCAGTCTCTGGGAACGCCGGGTTGGTTCCCTTTACCTCGCACATTCTATCGATGTCGTTAAGCGATCATCGATAGAGGGTCTGCTAGGTCCTCTTGAAACTCTTGTTTTCGAAAAATCAAGAGTTTCAAGTCCTCTTACCTATATATTGTTCCTGGTCCTGGTCCTGATGGGTCCTGGTCCTGGTGGGTCCTGGTCGTGGCGGGTCCTGGTCCCGGTGGGTCCTGGTCCCGGTGGGTCCTGGTCCCGGTGGGTCCTGGTCCCGGTGGGTCCTGGTCCCGGTGGGTCCTGGTCCTCTGCATCCACGCCGTGGAGGGGGAAGGGGAGAGCAAACGCGGGTACTCCTAGTCAAGGTTCCAGTTAGCGCCTGCCAACTGTCAACTGTGACTTGGGTCTAGGGTACCTGGTTCTGCGGTTGCGAGGCCTCTCGTCCGGATCGTAGTCCATGAGGAATCGTAGCTGCTTGTTCGGGTGGTCCTGAGCTTTCTGGAAGGTCTTCTCCGCTTTTTTCCTCATGTACTCGTGAATGGTGTCCCAATGCAGGTCTCTACGCAAGGTTGAGTTTCTTACGTAGGATGGATCGATTGGTGGCGATCCGGAATAGCTTCATCTCTAGAGCAGCGTACCCCCAGACCGCGGAGGCGTAAGCGAGCTGAGGTCTGGCGATGGCCTTGATCAGCCGTAGCTTGGTCGCTAGCGGCATGCGGCTGTGTCTACCCAGTAATGAGTAGAGTTGGGCCATGGCTGCTCTGGTCTTTGCGATGACACTTCTATGTGGTCTTTCCAGGTGAGGGACTTGTCAAATATGATCCCCAGATATTTGACTTTGTCGCTCCATTGGATATCTTCGTCGACAGGAGGTCTATATATATATATATACACCCTCCTACCCTGTGCGGTCCCTCCACCACCCCTGTTCCAGGCAACCTCAAACCCTTGAGGAGTGGGGGGAAGAGCAATCTGCTCCTTCCTCCTCTCCCGCCCGAAGGCCTGGCGTGGCGCTGCGTGCTTTAGGCCGCTGCGCATTCCCCGAGTGTGTGCTGCCGAGCGAGCTACCCCCCTCCCCAATTTTGCCCCTTTTTCCCGAAATTTGACTCGATCTTCTTGGGGGTCCTGCGCTGGGGGCTTTGACCTAAGCCCCGCATTAAGGTTGGTGAGCCTTCGCTCTTTCCTATCCGACTGGAGTCAGTCAGTCGTTTGCTGTTTGTCTTCGTCTCTTGAGGTTAGCCCCGAGTCCGTGCTTGACTCTGGCCACCTCAATCGACAGGCTTCTTTTTGTCCACCCGTTGTACACGGGCTGCTCTTTCCCCTCTTGGGTGTACAACTATTGTCGGTCTTCTCCCCTTTTCTTTGGCCTCATCAGCTGCTAGGGCCAAATTCCTTCTTGTTGCAGCTGGCTTTGCGGTCTTTTATGACGCCTTATTGTTCTTGGGCGTCTTTAATCAGCACATTTCGGTGTCTTTCGATCTTTTCAAAGAACTTTCGGGCCCTCTCTCTCATCTGGATTACGACCGGTACCTGTCGTAGTTCGTCATATAGCAGTCTGTTAGGTACATACCACGGTGCGTCCACCGCCTCACGGAGCGCTATGTTTTGATGAGCTTGGAGCCTCTTCTTCAACGTTTTGGAAACGTAGCCGCAAGCTACTGCTGCGTAAGTCATGATTTGGAGCAGCACCAGCTGAATCATGATGGTCTTATTCTTTAAGGACACTTTGCTTCTTCTGCCTATTAAAGGTCTTAGTTTGGAGCGTGCCATCTTCACTTTTTGCACCTGGCCGTCGACATGGTTCTTCCAAGTGAGTTTTTGGACCATCTTAACTCCAAGGTATGTGCTGGAGTCCTTCAACTTCTTCGTCTCTTCTCCAGCCTCTCTCCATTCTGGTGGTCATCATCTTTATTTTGGTTTGAGGTAATCTTCGATTTCTTCGGGACAGTACGCTTCGGTCTTCTCAGGTTTGAGACGGATCTTCCACTTGATGCACCATTCCTCTAGGTTGGTAGTCGCTCGTTGCAGATATTCCGTAACCATGCGGGGTCTCGTACTTTCTGCCGCATATGCTGTATCGTCCGCATACACATACAGTTGCGTTTGTGGAGTCTTCGGGATGTCTGAACTGTAGATAGCATACAGCAGGGGTGATAGAACCGCTCCCTGCGCTACTCCTGCCTCCACAGTCCTCGTCGTCGAAGATGTTTTAATTCGGAATTTACGATGCTTCAAATAGGACTTCACCAGTTGAGTATCCGAGGTCTACCATCTTGTAGATCAGTCCGTCATGCCAAACAGTGTCGAACGCTTTAGCGGCATCCGTAAACACAGCTCCCACGGCCCGCCGAGTCCGGAACGATTTCGTTGCCATCTCGACCAGCCTTAGGACCTGGTGCTCTGCTGAATGTTCGCTTCGGAATCCGAACTGTTCGTCTGGAACTACTCGGAGTTCTTCAGTTTCGTTCCTCAGTCTTCGTTCGATTACCCTTTCCGCAATCTTGCTCAGTGCCTTCAACAGGCTTATGGGTCAGTAGTTTTGGGGGAACCTTGGGTCTTTCCCAGGTTTTGGTATGTTGATCACTTCGGCTACTTTCCAGTGTTCTGGAAAGTATCGGTGTCTCAGTATGGCGTTGACAATGTTGGTGATCGCTTTCCTCGGGAGTCTCTTCAAGACTCTGTTCCCAATTTCGTCTACACCCGGTGCTTTCTTCACCTTGAGTCTTCCGATGATTTCCCTTATCTCGCCTGATGTCCTCAATGGGCTCTGCGACATTTTTTTTTTTTTTTTTTTGGTGAGGGGGGAATGCATTTACGCACCATACCATAGCCCGAGCTACGGCGTGTGTGGGACTCCAGGGTCTTGAGGAGATCACCTAATACCCACTAAATCCTGAACCTCCGCGTGGCCCGACTCATCAGCGTCTCGGTAGGCCATGTGTTGTGCGTGACCTGCGGTCTGCTACAACGTCTCCTCATGTGTTTCAGTCTCTGGGAACGCCGGGTTGGTTCCCTTTACCTCGCACATTCTATAGATGTCGTTAAGCGATCATCGATAGAGGGTCTGCTAGGTTCTCTTGAGTCTCTTGTTTTCGAAAAATCAAGAGTTTCAAGTCCTCTTACCAATATGTTGTTTCTGGTCCTGGTCCTGAAGGGTCCTGGTCCTGGTGGGTCCTGGTCGTGGCGGGTCCTGGTCCTGGTTGGTCCTGGTCCAAAACCCCCACATGACCCTGTGCCTAGCTTTTATATCGAGCCGAAAAGTTGCGGTTCCGGAGCGTTTTCGGTTGTTCTGGGGGAATTCCGGCAACGTCGCTGCACCGGCCCCTACTGCACTTTGGTTTCGGTTTCAGTCGCCTGCCGACGCGTGCCGCTTTCACGCGTTCGACCGGGATTCGCCTCTGTATAGGCGTCGTTCAGTCTGCCGGTCTGTCTGTTCGCCAAAGGGGTGTATGTGTGACTGATGCAGTGAGTGTGTCATGTGATGACCGATGACGTTTACCGTTCAGCAGAATGACGCTCTCCTGCTATGACATGTTCTGCGTCAACTTTGCCAAGGTGGGCTTGCTCGAAGGTCACAGCCGGCATCATGTGAGATTAGACATATTTTGACAAATATAAACGGCTTCATTTACAAGGATCTATTACAAATGTGTCAAGTTTAGCCTCGGTTGTTCTTCCACTAACCCTTGTGTGACATCGTATACTAGAAATGTGTATACAGGGTGTCCTATAAGTCGACGGCAAGCTGGAACGGGGGGGGATAGGTCAAGGTCATAATTGTTATCAGAAAAATAAACAAACCTAAGTCGTGTACTTTTCAAATTTGAGGCTTAAAAAGCGCTGCAACAAATTAAAAAAAAAAAACGGAATTATTTTTCTGGGTGTAACACTGAGTATAAGCCAATAAATAAAAGCACAGCCGAATATCTAATAACCTTGTTGACCACTCCCAATAAAGAATGAGAAAAATTGTCGATATGCCCGTTTTCAGATTTGACTATAATTTGTATTCACCGATATCCATATTAAGAGTGCATTTTCACTTTCACGGTTCAATTTCTCTCTCTAAAAGATGAAATCTACAAAAACCATGAATAAAATTGTCGTTTTATCGGATGTTAAACATGAACAATCATGCCTTCTTTTTGTATACTTTATGAATACGTCATAGCCAGCGAAAGTATATTAAATTATGCGTTTCCAAATGGGTATCTTGGAATAAATTAGATAAAATTGGAATAATTTTAGGATACCGCTATCGATTTCTACAGGGTGTCCCAAAATTCCGTGTACATAGAAGTAACACGTATTTTTGGACTCAAGATTAGTTGATTGGACATGCAAAAGTGTGCGTCGTTTTTTTTAAATACATTTTTCAAGATATTTTAAGAAAGAGAACTTTTACGAAATAATGTTTATTATGACAAATTGGTTAAGGCTTTCGCGGCCAGTTGATAAACTGCTGTCTTGATTCGGGTCTAAAGGTCGTCGTCGGTTGGAATTTCTTCCTAACGTCGTTCCGTTAGCACGAGTGGCAAGCTTCTTCAGAGGTCCTTCCATTTCCGATGCTGGACGTAGACTGACGATTTTTTTTTTTTAACGAGGGGGGAATGCATTTACGCACCATACCATAGCACGAGCTACGGCGTGTGTGGGGCTCCAGGGTCTTGAGGAGATCACCTAATACCCACTAAACCCTAAACCTCCGCGTGGCCCGACTCATCAGCGTCTCGGTAGGCCATGTGTTGTGCGTGACCTGCGGTCTGCTACAACGTCTCCTCATGTGTTTCAGTCTCTGGGAACGCCGGGTTGGTTCCCTTTACCTCGCACATTCTATCGATGTCGTTAAGCGATCATCGATAGAGGGTCTGCTAGTTTCTCTTGAAACTCTTGTTTTCGAAAAATCAAGAGTTTCAAGTCCTCTTACCAATATGTTGTTCCTGGTCCTGGTCGTGGCGGGTCCTGGTCCTGGTTGGTCCTGGTCCCGGTGGGTCCTGGTCCCGGTGGTTCCTGGTCCTCTGCATCCACGCCGTGGGGTGGGGGGGGAGCAGCCGCAAGTTCTCCTAGTCTCCTAGTCAAGGTTCCAGTTAGCGGGTGCCAACTGGGACCTTGGTCTGGGGTACCTGGTTCTGCGGTTGCGAGGCCTCTCGTCCGGATCGTAGTCCATGAGGAGTCGTAGCTGCTCGTTCGGGTGGTCCTGAGCTTTCTCGAAGGTCTTCTCCGCTTTTTTCCTCATGTACTCGTGGATGGTATCCCAATGCAGGTCTCTACGCAAGGTTGAGTTCCTTACGTAGGAAGGTGCATTGGTGGCGATCCGGAGTAGCTTCATCTCTAGAGCAGCAAGTCGCTTGCGGTAGCTGGGGGCAGCGTACCCCCAGACCGCGGAGGCGTAAGCGAGCTGAGGTCTGGCGATGGCCTTGATCAGCCGTAGCTTGGTCGTTAGCGGCATCTGGCTGTGTCTACCCAGTAATGGATAGAGTTGAGCCATGGCTGCTCTGGTTTTTGCGATGACAGCTTCTATGTGCGCTTTCCAGGTGAGGGACTTGTCAAAAACGATCCCCAGATATTTGACATTGTCGCTCCACTGGATATCTTCATCGAAGATGGATGCTTCGAGAGGTCTTGCAATCCTTCTTCGTTGAATGAAGATTGCCTGCGTCTTCTGGACGTTGATGCGGATTTTCCATTTCACGCACCAGTCCTGAATTTGGTCCAGTTCATCCTGTAGTCTCCTACGGATGATCTCGGGTCGTCTATGCTTGGCGGCTATAGGGCCAGCATTGTGTCAGCTGTCTTCGGCACATCGTAAGTATAGATGTTGTAGAGCAGGGGGGCTAAGGCTGACCCCTGGGGCACGCCTGCTTCCAGCTGTCGTCTTGTTTGACGATTTCTCGTGCGCAGGTTGTATTTGTACCGGAGGGTAGGTGACGTGGCTTGTTCCGCTTCGGGACGCCGATCGGCACGCTTCGGGCGTTTCTGAGGATCGGGTGCCAGATCGGGTTGAGTCTGAGGGTCTCTTCCTTCCTGTTGATGTTATCTGGATCTTTGTGAATCACGATAGCTTCTCTGACCGGTCTATTGTGACTGATGACAGCAACCTGCAGCTCCCAAAGTGTACCATGTGGTCCCCATTGCTTAGTGCATGTTCAGCTACCGCAGACTTCTCAGTCAATTTGCTTTGCGCTCCTTGAGTCTCGTTCCCATTGATCTTTTCGTGGTTCCCATGTATACTTTGCCGCATGAACACGGTATGCGGTAGACTCCTGCACCTGAGAGTGGGCCTTCTTGTCCTTTGCCGATCTGATGGTTTGTTGGATCTTCTTCGTATGCTTGATGATTGTTTTAATGTCATTTCTCTTCAGGACTCTGTCAATCCTGTCCGTGACTCTTGGCACGAATGGACGATACGCTTGAGAGGTGGTGGGACGCTGTTCGGTTTCACGTGGGCTGGCTGATCTCGAGCCCGTTGATCTTTCGATGTCCCTCTTGCTGTAGCCATTTGCTTCGAACGCAGTTTTCAGGTGTTCAAGTTCTGTCTGGAGGTTCTCCGGTTCGCAAATCTTTCGAGCTCGTTCTGTCAGGGTTTTGATGACTCCGTACTTCTGACTTGGGTGATGATTGGGCAAAGCGTCTGTGTGCGTTGGTTTCCTGTACACCGTGTGACCCAGCTTGTTACCTCGCTTCCTGACTAGCACGTCCAAGAAGGCCAGTTGTTGGTCGCTCTCTATCTCCATGGTAAATTGTATGCTTGGATGCCGATCGTCGAGGTGCTGCCTATCCTTGCCAAGTTTCCAAATCAAGGTGTCGTCCACGTACCGGAACCGAATCGCTGGTTTGTTCTCGGATGTCTCAACCGCCTTCTTCTCAAAGTGTTCCATAAAAAGGTTGGCTATGAGTGGGCTAAGTGGACTTCCCATTGCCACTCCGTCTGTCTGCTCATAAACGCTCCCGTCCCATACGAAGTAGCATGCAGTGTCACTGATTTCAAAGAGCTTGCAGATGTCAGAAGCGAAGATCCTGATCACCAGATCTACAGTATATTCAGATAAGAGATAGACCGGATGTAAACAAAAGGTTCGGGTGATTTTCACGCTAACGCCGCCGTCTCGACGTAAAACAGGAGCCCTCATTGGTCAATTCGCAATTAAATGCCTATGCCGAGCGGCAGAGCAGTCGTATCAAGGCAGAGTCACATTCAGGTTCAGATGTGTTACGTATGTCGTGTGCATCATTGCAATTTGATATTTCTTTGGACGTTTTCGTTTGTTATCTTATTAAGTTGTTGAGTTTGGCGTTGTTATTGTTATACCTTGTTATTGATTGTTATTGTTATCAACTGCTTGCGCAAAATGCCCAGTAGTACAGATACTGCCGATGAAGTTGTAAACTCCTGTAGTCCACCTAGGAAACGCTCTAAAAAAAGACACCTGAGTGCAGAAATGAAAGAGGTCATTTTGAATATATATAAGATCGAGCGTGAGGAGAACGAGGCATCAACTATCAAAGAAATTGTTGTGAAGGTTTCTCACAAAGTTGGGGTATGTCGCGCATCAGTGTTTAATGTGTTAAGACAATACAAAAAAGTCACACCTTTTCTGAGCTAATGACCAGTAAACATCGCAAAAGTATTTTTAAATCATTGGATGAAGCTGATAAGCATGCGAATAGGAGGAAAGTGCATGAATTCTTCTTTGAAGAATGAAATACCTACTATAGATAAAGTACTGCAGGAGGTAAATGGAGACACAACGTTGCCAAATTTCAAACGATCAACTTTCCATGCGTTACTGAAGCATTTAAATTTCAAATGGAAAAAACGGGGTCGTAATAGTTTACTACTGGATAGAGAAGAAATTGTGCTATGGAGGAGGAGGGATTATTTAACAAAAATTGGGAAATATAGAAATCAAAACAGGAAGATTTATTACCTTGATGAAACGTGGGTAAACGCAGGACACACTACAAGTAAAGTATGGGTTGATGATTCTGTAACTTCATCCAGGAGGGCCTTTCTAGATGGACTGTCCACCGGATTAAAAAATCCAGCAGGTAAATACGAGTAGTAGACAACAATCGGATGTTTTTCAAACCTTGGGAACAAGGTTCTAAACATTAATTCCAGGGGGCAGATAAAACATATTACAAGTAACAAAACTTTTATAACTTTCGATAAAATGCATGGATGTTTTATTGTCATTTTCATTTGTTAGAACTTTTTTAAGCCATGTTTTTATGTGTTTTCGATATTTCAATAATTTTTTAATATAATCTTAAAATATGTCGAATATTATAAACTTAAAAAAAGTTACTAAGTTTTATATTGTGTACCGTTCCTAATATTTCTAATCATTTTAATTCATACTTTAAGCTTTATAAAGTTATAATTTGTTAATATTAATATTTGCGCGTATTTCAGGTTCCTGATCATTCATTTTTTAAAGATTTATAACTTTAAATTAAATTGTGAAGCGCTGAGTAATCATACGACGTTCAATATTCTTTCTTTCAATATGACTAAATAATCCCAATTATAGCAATCTGATACTCATGTCTCAATGTTTTTTCGCTGAATGTGATGAAAACATTTG